CCCTTTGGAGTTTGAAAAAAAAAATTGAAGGTTAGGTCCATTAATAATGTTTCTTCATCATTTAGTCCCTAACCCAACTTATATGCTCTAGGAAATTTTGGGGTATTACAACCTCAGAAGCCGAAGGGCCCCCCTTTTTATAGACCAAAGGAAAAGCCCAATCCTAAAGTGCTTCTAATACTCAAATCCCAATCCTAAGATAACAACTCAATCCTATTTGGAATTGTATTTCTTAGTTTTTCCCACATCTACCCCTTTTCTAGTCTAGATTCATAACTTCTATGCATTAGAACTCCCACCTTGAATCAATTTCGGACTCCTTGGAGTTGATGACTTATGGTTTGTCCATCTTTATCCAAATCCTTCAATTGGTTGAGTTTATCTTCAAATAAAATCTTCTTTGGCATCATGCTGGAGTTAATGAGAAAAGGGGTGCAGTAGAGAGAGATCTTAACCCCTTCAAATTTCCAACTTTACAAAAACAGTCCATTGACTTCTGATTTTAGCATTTAACCCCTCAGTAAAAATTGGGTTATGACAATATAGATATGAAGTTGCCAAGACTAAGAAGGGGCCCTAGTGGACCAACAATCCTTCGTTGGAAATGTTGAAGAATTCATAATTGCACATCAAAAGCTGTCAAAAGTGCCCAAATCATCCCAAAGCTTGACACCTGTCCTTATACAACTCATATCTAACCGTTGGATTGTTGAGCTACTCTAACCCTTCAAACCAAAAATTACCAAAATATCACTACATATATATTTGCTATTTTTCCTTCATTTTCAAAAAGGGACAATTCATTCTCCATGCATCAGGGATACATTTTTACTCTCAAATCTTCATCTTCAACCTCTTGACTCCCTCACTAAAATTAAAATTCCCCAGACCTATTGGAACTCATTTCCTCTTCATTTCTAAGCTTACATACATGCATAAACTCTGTAGAAACCTCTATTTTCTACAATATTTTCTATATTATTTTCGACCACAAAAATTATTCTCCAGACTTATAGTTCATTATGTGTAATATCCCAAATTTTCGGGAATATTTAAGTGTAAGTTAAGGACTTGATTGTGAGAAAAGATTGTTTTGGGGCCTAATGTGAATATTTCAAAAGTTGAGGGATTTAAAGAGGGAAAATAATTGGATAAGGATGACTTCTTTTCTTTTACTTTTTCCTTCCTTCTTTCTTCCCCAGCCATTTCCCGATTCTGCTCATCTCTTCCTGTTGTAGCCACCCGAAAAAAAAAAAAGGGGAACCCAGCCATGCCTTTGAGAAACCGGTGAGATAAGCTTGGTTTTCTCCTTCCTTTCTTGCTCTAGAACACACCTAGAACCCAGAAATCTTTCCCCCCTACTGGAAAAGCCGGATCTGCCCTGCTCTGCTTTGTCCTTCCGCCGACTGCTCTTGATTATGGGTGATTTCTGGGCATTTTTTTTGGGTAAGAACAGCCCCTAATTCCTTTGTTCTTGCTTGAATTGGCTTGGGTTAACTTTGATTGCTCTTATTTCCTTCAATTTTGGGTAG